ATATATAGAGTAACCGGAGTAGGCAGCATGCGTGTCTGTTAGGTAGTATTTACGTTAAGAACGTAATCCATTGCTTTCACTGTGTCTTGTATATTTTGTAATATGTTTCGATGGCATTATTGCTACTAGAAACTTATATTCATATATACAAACATCTATAATGTATATGGATGCAATAATTAAAGAGGAGACGATCATTCTAATAAATAGTAAAAGCATTTGAACAACAAGTTGTGTTTTACTGGTCCTTCACATTGATTCGACGCATCGCCGCGCTCATTTTCCATACACCGAACAGGGTTTTCGTGGCGGAAGTCAACTAATTACGATGAATGTTTTTCATACAGATAAAATAATTATAAATTAAAACTATATGGTTGTTATCATAATCTTCGCACATCGGAGTTAAAATTGTTGATTAATAAATATTGTTTATTAACGAAACTGTTCGTTCTTAATTGTGCTACGACGGCGATACAGCTGATCCTGCCTGAGCATGAAATATTAAATCGCTCGATCTAGCAAAGAAACATCTTTGTAAGGATACTCCTGACAATACCTACATGTTATTCGTGTCCGTTGTAAATGTCTTCTGCTTGTCACGTTTGTAAATATTGAAGTTAATAAAGGTTGTTTATATCCAGCATATTTGTTTAAAACGAGTTCGTTATTTGTTACTATGCGGCGAGAACTGTAAAGCAGTGGAAATTAAAATGTGCCATCGGTATTAATACAAGCCTAGGCTGACGAGGGGCAAGTGCTTTGAAGTTTGCGTGGGGCCGTTGCAGCCATTCTCAAGGTCCATCATAGCTACCATTGGCCATTCTGCTATAAAAACACAATGAAGAAACATTATAATCAATAGCCTGCTATTGATTTGGGAAATTCGATGCACATGGCTGCAAGAAGACGAAACTCACTTCTGTGCCGATTCTAGCGACTAATACATTTCCTGCCACGCTTGCTAGAGAAGGACGTAGTGCGGCGGCTAATTGTTTTTACGCATAAGTTATTTTGTCCAATAGACAAATAAAATGACTAGTCTGCTGTCTTTATTGTATGAGATAAATCTATACACTGAATTCAGTGTGCATGTATACGAACGCATAATTTGTGATCATGCAATACAGAGTTAACAGTTTTTAGACACACGCACATACACAATTTTCATTAACCGCCACAGTAAGTTCGGCAATTCATTTTCTGGATCACACATAAGAACTATCTGTTCGCATAAATTTGCCGACTTTCATTCCGATGTGATAAATATCGTACCAAGTTGCTGAACTCAAATCACATCGTTTTCGCTCACAAGTAAAGCGATTTGTTATTGATCACGGGTAAAAAATTGGTGATTCTGTGGAGGTCGCCTCTCCATACTTCGAGTTCTCGGTGTCGCCGCTAGGCGTTCCGTCAGATGGCTGGTCTGGTTTCAGTACCAAATAACGAAATGTACCTATTCCCGGATTTGAACCTTTTTTTTGTAGCAGGCAGATACGTTGCCCGTTAAGCTATTACGGGGACAAATTGAGCTGATTTGCGAGATGTCCCTGTAGTATCCAAGTGGGTAATACGCTTGACTGCTGATTTCAGGGATACGTAATGATCCAAATTCGAATTCGGGATTAGACACATTTCTTTCTGTGATGGGGCCTTGCCATCCGATGGAATGCCGAACAGCGGTGCCGGATACAAAACTTTTTTGTTAACATGGCATGCGTGCACTGAAATGACAGCAAATTCATGTAAAAAATTCAGCTGGAATTATTATTGAATGTACTTAAGCAGAATTCACCCGTATTCAAATTGCTGGCCCAAATGTATCATTTGTAACTGTTTTCTCTCTTTGGAGTTAATTAGAAAGCGCCGTTACGAATGGCAAAAGTCATGCAATCTTAGATGAATTGTCTGCCATAGCAGTGATTTTTTTCGAATGTATTTATCTCATTATTAAACTAGAAAGCATTCCAAAAAAAGGCCGAAAAGAAGAACTTCCGTACAATGTTCTGATTGCAGTCTTTTGTTTATTTTATTCATTTCCTTGCAGGCCGCTGTTTCAAGGAACACTTGTTGGCACTGTTAACCGCCGTGACAGTCGAGGGCGAGGATTTCTTGAACGTGACTGGGGTGGACCTGCCGGCGGTGCGAATCACTAGGAGGCAACTGTTTTCTGTTGTTAAAGCTGCCGATCCTAAACAAAGCATAGTGAGGGAGCTCTATTTCAATCTGAGTGGTGATTTTGTGATGGCCTATTCTCTCTGCTTTTGGCTAATTGTTTTGTTACATCTATATGGATATCATTAGATTTTACGAGTTCGTGCAAAACTGATACGCCGACAAAAGAGAATTAGGGCTGTACAAGGTAAACTATTTCAGTATCGTATCTAGCTCCGAGGCATACGTACTGGTAATATCGTGTATAAAACAATCGTGTATGCCATATTGAGTAAGAAGCTGAGGTCGAGATAGCGACAAGCAGTAATCGCTCAAAAATAGGTTTGCATTATGAGAATTACAGTAAAAGGCTGTTTTTGCACAAAGCAGGGTGGTAATTCATATGGGTCTTTTGAACGAAGAATAAACCAAGGACAGTAGAAATCTAATGATATTGGTTTGTCTAGCTTTATTTGTTATGCATTAAATGTATCAGTTAAGCAGGCTAGAGTTTGGTAAGAGTTAATACAATGAACTGTGCCATGTACATGCATATACTAAGTATAGCATAGATTGCCTGTCTAGGATTATTTAATTATAGTATCTTTGTTATCCTATGCATTCTTTAATCCCTGCGAGTTTCTTTGCACTATATTTTCATTGGTGGTTTTGAAGAATCCACTACAGAATTGAGCGGTTTTGTATATATGGTAGCATTAAGTGCAGGTTGTGGGATTGGGCCACTACTTGATTTTTTTGTCAACAGCCTTCGTTTGAGGAACTACGTTTACTTTACGAAGTCAAACAAGTCGACCTGCCTAAATAAATGTGTTCAAATACATTACCATGATTAATTTTTGTTTGTAGCCTTCCTACAAAATGTGCATTATAAACTCAAGTTTAAAACTCAAGTTATTGGGTCATTTTTTTTTTCATCATCTTTTTGGAAAATGATCTAAGAAACACTGTCAGATTACAAATTGTATTGATGACGTTGAACTTGTTTCTAACTTCATAATTTCTGTCAGATTATTATTGTTATGTTATAACGAACAAATATTGAGTTACTGAAAAAAATTGGCCTCTATTTTTATATGTGAATGAATATTACATTTCCTATGAGAGTGGTTAGGAATACAAACAGCTATGGAACGTTGTTGCTTGCAAAATTCAATGATGAAAGTATTTTGAAACATTCTAGTTTAGAAATGACAGATTCACCATAATTGTGTAGAGGCGTTTTTTTTAGTTTAATCTAAGAGACTTGTGAGAGATTTTAGATTCTCTTTTCATAATGCCTAAAATATATAATTGTTCAAAAAGTTGGTGTCGCTAGAGTTCTTAAGCTTTGGCGGCATTTTATACTACACTTTATCTATTAGGGTTCAGTCTCTATCGTTCGACAACTCTATTGAACATGTGGATATTCACACGCGAAGATTCGACACCATCATAGAAAAATATCGTTAGACCATATGGGCCCCTCACATTAAAATAATCCTAAACCGAGTGATGTCATCGGACACGCGACCCAACGCAGGAAACTCAATGATAAAGTAACGCTGTGCAAAAGTAAAAACACCAGAGCTTAAAAATATACCAGCACAGTTTTATTGCCTTTAGCAATTGTGCTTTTAGCGTAGAACTCGTCGGTTGCTGAACACAGGCTCGACGATTCCTATATGAGCGTTTTATCTCACCATTATGCGAAATACAATACTTAAGGTACCACAGCAGAAAAAACTCTTAAATCTCACGAAATCTATTTACTTCGAGCAAGGGTTGCTATAGCATTCGTATTGTCAAGTCGATACCTAAATGGCAGCGGAGTAATATGAGCGGGATGGTTACGTCAATGAATTCAGTGTTAAGCGACTTTCGCTAAGTGTGGTTCTTCATAGTTAAAAACTCAACTGGTAAAGTCTTCACCTGTAGTCACTGGCCACATATGGCGATGCATACCTTAGAAGAGTCACCAGGATTTCATGGCTGGTTGCCAAGCGCAACGACAATAAGAAGCCGTCGTCTCATGACGACCTTTCATCCCGCCTGTACGCTGTGCGGCGTACCCCACAGCTTTAAATTGGCCTACATCTCTTATTTTGCTATCTACCAACTTTGATAATATTTTTTAGAAAAGTAGTTTCCTCTACCCATTTTCTTTGGAAAGAACGGGAAACAAAAGAATTTAATCTATGTGCTACGTATCGGCTTACTGCTAGCCATTGTAACGCGGTACATTCGTTTTCCACGTACAGAGTGATTACTGCAGCAGTTTTCGTGAAAACAATCTGCGATACACTTTTCTAGAATTCCCCTGTTTGGATACTACAATCACAATTTAAGGTACGCCAGATGATGACCCACCAACGAGATGCTGATCTCTACGCGAGCGTCCTGTCTACGAAAAGAACAGTTAGTGGACAAATATAAAATTCAGGTTATTTTTTTTTTGTAATCTTAGCAAGTTTAAATCGGCAAAAGCACAAAGATGTTTTCAGTTTGCAATCGGATTCCTCTTCACTGTGACACCGGGACCTACTGGAACTTGCTAGGTTTACCCAATTGCATAGCTATGTGCTTCCTATTTTCTTGACGACAGGCTTTCTAAGCTGTGAAGTGATGAAAATGTGAGTACTTCACTTCAGCCCGCTGTCCTTTCCGTCTACACAATGCTCTTGAATAGTTATATGTTAAACACATAGATACATGGTTCAGTACTTCACAAAGAGGAGGGCATCGTCGTTCCGGGTCTGTCCTCAATCGCAAACAATCTTCTCCGCGACGTTTATCTTCTTTTGCGGACTGTTAAACCTTCGTTGCAGCAATTGTGGAAACGAGATTCTTAAGCACTTTTTTTTTTTTAAAAATAGGCCGCAAAGCCATATACAAAATTCATATGTGTCAACCATAATCTAGTCAGCTTTTTTTAGTTACTGAATTCCTCGTATGATATATATAGTATTATTACTCTGTGGCCGCAGAGTACACCTTATGTCTGCAGACGGATTCGGCGGAACCCTCGAAAACGATTGGGCTTTCGTTAGATCCAACCCAAACGAGCATTAATACTATCCGTAAGGTACTACAAGCGCTTTGAAGGTAAATTACATGTACTGAGATAACGCAAGCCTAATTAAGACAAGGCTTGCTTCTTTATAGTAAGGGGCTAGTTTTGCATATTCAAGCTATACTCTCTTTCGAGACCTACGATCATCTTTGATTGTACGAGTCCATTGGATGCTACTACTATATGATATCTTTAAACAAGACACTAGTCGGTTAAATCACACAAAGCTTCTGATTCAAAAAAGGAAATATTGAAAAGCAATCATTCTTTAGCCACACGAAGTTGTAATTGTCGTTTGCGATGTGGCAGGAGTAAACAAATTTCTTCCTTACTTACACTTCCTTCTGTCAATGGAATAGAATAAAAAATGAGCGTTATAGAATCCCCACTGCATTGTCACAATAACAGCATTTTCGATCAGGCTTTCCATTCGATATTGATAAGGTAATGCGTGACCTTAATGCTGTACCTGCTCTAGTTCAAATAGCCGCGCGAAAACCTAACAATGAGGATGATATAGTTGGTGTTGAAGCAAAAATGTCGCCTCGAGTGGTTTGTCTACCTTGAGCATCCTTAACGCACGTCTCCCTAGTGGAGGTTCAACAATCCCAAAATTTCATCCACTTTACCATCATTTCAAGACCTGTTGCCGAGCAACTTTGCTCGACTCGAAAGTCGCGCCTTTCTGCCAGCAAGTAATGGGGGAGGTTTAGAGGTTGTTGTCGTTGTTGTTGTTGTTGTTGTGCTTGGCGTTGTACTAGGCGTTTTAGGCTTCGCTTTAGCAGATGGCGCTGGCGTAGTGGTCGCTGTAGCAGTCTGTTCATCTTCATATTCTTCATCATAGTACTCGTCCTCATATTCGATAGGCGCCTGTCAAAGAGCAACGAAGTCAACAAACCGACGCCACGTTAACGGTAAATTAATAGTGGAAACAACTGAACAGAGTTAAAAGTCATCATGCCGGATGATTGAGACGATGACTTTCTCGACGATGTCTAGTAAATTTAAATATTAATTAAATAAATTAATTAAATAAAAATTAATTGTTTTTAATGAATGTTGTAAAAACTAATGATACTTTTATGAAAGGATAATGAGCTCGAGGCCGGTAGACTTTTTTGGTAATCTTCTATATAAGGTGTTCAATTCCTTGGTACTGGATGAACCTTTGCCGGGACAATACACTTATGGACTCGACGATCTGTATCATTGTCAGTTATTTTACTGCTTTCGAACGACTCGAGAAAGAGTGATCCATGTAAGTAGAATGATCTACAAATAGAATTCAGTTTAGTTCTTTGGAAAAAAAGAACACAAAAAGAATATCTAGTGGTTTCTTAATTTTTGCAGATACTCGAGTCTGTTTTCGAGATAGGATTACTAACAGCCGGTCCAGTCGTCTATGTAGACTACAGTGATTGACTTTTATCAACTTTTTGTTCATTTTGAACCTTTTTTAGACATGTTTCTGCATTTTTGAGCCTTTTGCTTTGGAAATTTTGGATTAATGTTAGATCAATATTTAGCTATACTGAATTCCTCTGTTTGTGACGTATTTGAATGACAACTCAGCGAGCCTAAATATACCAATATAATTTCACTCACGATTACTATTAAAAAGTGATGCCCCTATTTTAGAACAGAATTTTCGCAATAAAGTTTGGCTTTAGGCCCCAACTAATGCCCTGCTTGAAGTCACAGACAGTACAGTGTTATTATATATATATATATATATATATATATATATATATATATATATGCGTACCTCTGTTGTGGTGGTGGTCTTTGACTTCGAGTTGGTCGATTTCGCGGGTTTTGGCCTTTTTAAAGCCTTGACGGCTTCCTTTGCGATCGTATCCTCAGCAACGGTCGGGGTATGAATAGTCGTAGTCGTCGTCGTCGTCGTCGTCGTATCCTTGAAAAGAGCGTCATTACGTTTGTAATACGCTTTCGACTTGTCGCATTGTACCGTGTTCACGAAGCGACAGGTGAAAGTTGTCTGGTCGTATACTGTATAGTTGGGGCAAAGGAACGAATAACGGTAGCCTCCGAAACAATAGTGGAAGAGCTGTAGAGATAGACATCGAAATAAATACCGAAAAAAAGCAATATTTATCCTATACGTTGTTCTTTTCTCCTAATCAACCGCACATGTTATGTAATCAGTGTAGGTGGATATGTTTCCCAATTAACAATTTTCTTGCTGACAGCTTTAACTACAGGCTTAGTCGTCCTAGTCCATGGGCCGGCAGCAATGCCCTACATAGAAAGTGTTCAATTAAAGGTAAAATATGGAGATCTCAGGTACATTTGAACACAGGCTTTCTGTATGGATTAACATCTATCTAACCAAAAATATAAGACGCAATAATAATAATAATAACAAGGCGTATTTGTAGCAAGTGATCCTGTGCTAGAGGTCAACACTCCATTACCTGACAATGGTGTTCGATGGAGGCGAAGAACCCGTCGCCATGTTTGTCGCAATCAAAACGGATATCATCGGGCACACTGATATAGAACGGGTAATCGGTCAAATCAGCTCCAGTGAGTTCGCGGGGGAAATTTGGATCCGCCAGGTAGTCTATAACTCGACCATCCGACCTGTGGAACTATAAATGCTTACGGAACCTTTTCCATAGAAAGAATAGTATACTATTTTACACAAGAGTTTATTCAAATCTCCTTTTATATATAAGTTCGAGTATTTATTGTGTATGCTAGTTCGTGTTACGGTCTATTTATAGATTCGCAAGGTCTGCATTTGAGTTGGTCTTGAATTTTTTTATGCTCGGTGCTGCCTTAGTTAAACATTACGTGGCTAACAGCCCCTCCCTGTAAAAAACGAACGGTGTGCCAACGTCCGGTTTCGATCCTGGACCTTGCCTTAGCTAAATGACCTAACTATGAATGCTTAGTAGGATAATGCGTTTTCAATGCAAAATTCCGACAACCATTGGCTCTGTCTGTGATTCGTCCAGATATGTGACTCACCTCTCTTTATATCCAGGGGACAGAGTTGTCGTAGGCTTCGGAGGTTCCGTGCTTGTTGTTGTTGTTGTTGTCGTTGTTGTAGTCGTGCTGGTGGTCACGTACTTTTTACGAGGCCTTTGCTGTCGCTCCTCGTCATCATCATCGCCATCATATCTCTCTCGGGAACGATCCCGATCAAAGGGGTAGTCCCGATCCCGCTGATGATCCCGGTCTCGATAATCTCGATCATGATCTCGTTCTCGATGTTGCGGTCGAACGTGACGAGGTTTAAACGTGGCATAATTGTACGCGTAGTGATTGCTTTCCTCTTCGGCTGATGGCAGATCGTTATACTCGTAGTAGTCCTGAGGAGGCCGTCGAACACGCTGAGGTTGACGCAGCCTCTGTGGCTCTTGGCGAACTCGTTGAGACTGGTAATAGGTGTTGTATATCTGCAGTGACGAATGTGTGATGAAAAGGAAAATATTAAATGACAAACGAGATCTGCCCAGGATTCTAATAGTGACGTGGCTATGGTATGAGTCGCCAGTTTGTCACTTGGATGGTTATTTTCATGTGTTTTATAGGGAAATACATTCATCATAGCTTTGTTCATTTTAGATTGTTTGTTATGTATAAATATTCCGTCCTCAAGTGTTGCCGCCACGCGAAACTATCAAGTAATTCATGAGTATTTAAATCTCTTTGTGAAGTACATATATGAATGTAAAACGTATGCCCCAAAACGTTGTAGAATCGGATGTCACATTCAAGCTTTGAATTGTCAAGTTCGTTGCGTTGCAGTTTCGCCAGCGTTAAAGCATTGATTAATGCTATGGTCTTACACCTCGATTGACCTAGTCACACGGTGCCCTAAATATGCGTCTGTGTATGCCTCAGGCTAGAGCTTTTTCCGTAAATAACAGTTTTAATAGTCCTGTTGCCGTTCCTTCAACGTATACTCTCTGACATTTACTACAATTGGCAATGATAATTAAGCCTCTCGTATTATAATTCTAGAAAAATTAATTTAATTTGAATAGATTTTTTATAAATAAAAGTAATTTTAATTTAAATACATTCGGCACTCCATCAAACCAAGAGGAATGGTGTCTCGATGGAGAAGCTAACCTGATGATAGCTTTGCGCTTGTTGGGGGTACTGATTATTGTTGGTTGAATAACGATTGTATGCCTGTGAGGCTACTTGTTGTTGAGCGATGTGTTGCCCATGAGATTGACGCTGATATGGGCTCGGCTCCCGTTGTCGTTGGCGATTTCGTTGGTCAATTTGTTGTTGTTGTTGCTGCTGCTGCTGCTGTCGCTGAACTGGACGACGTGTCGTGGTCGTGATTTCGGGCACCTCATCCTCGGGAACCTACCCAGGCAATGGTGGAGCACATCAAGGTGAACTTGTGAAACATCATTGTAAGATTTAAGCAACACTGGCATACTCCTATAATAATAAGTTCCCGTAACTTTTTTTTTACCTACTTGTAAGATACATTTTATATTGAATTGTCCAAGAGTATAATTACTTGGAATATACGGAACGCTGATGTCGCCGAGCAGTAATCTTTATAAAACTAACCAAGTGTTTATGGTATAGAGAAATTGAACCTCGGCAAAAACATCACCTCGCACAAAGTTGACGTTTTCCTGTAATCCCTTGTTTTCCGTAATCGCTGTTTGGACGAAATATGTGAACTCTTTCAATGCGCTCACCAATTATCTCTTCACGCCAACACGATAATAATCATCTGTCATCTACTATTATTATGTTGTTTTTTTTTATTTAATCACATCTTTCATTAAACAGAGACTCCGATAAGAGATACCTTCAGTAGTTACTTCACTATTTGTTTTTACCTCGTAATAATAATAATCCTCTGGAGGAGGTGTCGTCGTTGTTGTCGTAGTCGACCTTCTCCGGTTATGAGGAGCCTTCACTCGTATCAGTTTATAGCCAGGACGAGCCTGTAGGCGTCCATCGGCCTGTCTTCGCTGAAAGGCATGTAAGGATCATTCTGAACCCAATCACGGATAGCAGGTAGACGATGAAGCCTAATGATTTTAATATAAATAATTGAATACATAATCAACATGCGCGTTGTACTGCCTGAACAGAGATAGCCTCCAATTAACAAGTGGTCTCTTTTAAACGTTGGGTTGTCGATGTAGCGACTAAAAGATGGTTTTTGATGAGATTCATTGTGGGCTATTACAGGATGATGCAAACCCACTGAATGTAACGCTACTCCTAAGTCGACATCCGGAGCCTGATCACAAAATTTTACCGCACAAGATACTGACAATTACTGTTGTCCTTAATTAAATAATTTGTATGACGTTATTAAATAAGACATAGATCACTTCATTGCAAAAAGAATCATAAAATTTTAGAGACGGCCACATTTGTTGCGATACCTCATGCAATGATTGTTTCAATTACTTGGCGGTCTACTACCTTGATGAAGTTGAACTTATAATGCGTAATGCAGTTGGCATTTAGGATAACGTACTTTTTGCTACTCTATTCACGGGTACAGGTGCGTATACATCGCTGGTGTACACAAATTCGAATGTTACGATGCTTTTGAAGTTAATACACCAATGTGCAGCTGTAAACAATATCAGTGACCTTTTGTCAGGCTCTTCGAAATTATTGGATTTCATGGTGCTTCTAGCGAGTCAACCTCGATAGCAAATCTCTAGAACAGTTTTAATTATGCCCAGTGACATATCGGTCAGTCGATTCTAGCTAGTAAACTTGCAAGTGGTAGAAAAAAAAAAGCAAGTAGACGGTTTATAAAAGAATTTTTTTTTTTTTACGTAATATCACCTGCGAGGTCACCTCAATATCCAATTGCTTGTTCTGATGCCCGCGACCATTTGGATACCTGTCGGTGTGCCACGACTCGTTCCGCAACACATATAATACCGATCTAATCAAAGTACGTATGGAGATAAGCCAATCGTCCAGATGCTATTTGGCAGAACTATAGAAAATGATCTTATATGGCTGCTAATAATAGAATTTTTTCACTGACGCTTATGTTCAGAGATAGCTGGAACTGCCATTAAACACATATGAACCTCATGCGTGTTCCGCTGTGTCTATATCAATAGCTAGTTTAACTTAATTAACTATGTTAACTGACGTGGATTCTCGATCTGATTGAAATCTGTCCATCATCAGAGGTTGCAAACACGATTCTGGCTGTCCATCATAGCGGAGTCATCCTTTGCCTCTTGTCAGAAAATCAAGCTGACGCACTGTCAAAGCCCCTCTTAAATCGAGTGAAAACTACGGCGACGGTATACACAGCGGCAAATTTCATATAATACATATGTAGACGCTTGCGGAGCGGCAAGAACGTATAGATACCCACAAAGCAGAAAACAGTTTTACAGCTTCTTGCCGACAGAATATTATTATTATTGTGTCAGGCGTCCGTGGCGCAGCGAACGACAAAGCCTCCATGGGCGGATGTTTGACGGCTTCGTAATTGTTGCCACTATGCCCATAGCAGTCGAAATGCTGGCAACTAGGCGCTACGAATTGTCTTATGTTGGTGACATTGACGCGTACGAACGCCTGTATTATCGCCACTGATCAATAGAAACAGAGCTATCGTCAATTATTATCATTGTTGGTATTGCGTTGCGAAATAGATAACGGGCCGTTATAGGAACGCGTACGAGATAAGTGAATGAGGCATAACCTTGATGTGCGTTTCGTCTTACGTTATGCCAGCCGACGTAGCTTGCTCGGATAAACAAAAGCCCAGCTGGGGATCGTAAAGAATGGGCCAACGATGGGGCAAATTTTTGTCTTTCCTACCGGCTAATGACGATGTCATCTTTCACACGAGACCGTACGATATGCAGAATCGTTCTAGGATGCCAACAAATCAGAAAGCTTTCGAATTGTCTCGTACAGGAAGCCAAACGGATCTTTTTGCGGTAATTCGTAACCGCGGCATCGATGGCAGCGCCGATAACAAAGCGGGACCTATTATTTGTAGAGGGACAGCTTTTGACGATTATCACTGTTATTATTTTTTTTTTATTGTTGTTCATTTTATGAAATACTTTGTATCTAAATCATTTGCAAGGAAGGTATTAAGTCAGTACTGTTGACAACAAAGGCTTACGGAAAAACATGACATCAAATTACTTTTTCATTAAAGCAATGGTTGCTGGGGGTGCTATATCTTCATAAGAATTTTCAAATAATATTGGGGTAGCATGATAGATGTGGTTCATGATTACTAATTAGTAGTCTGTCATGTGCTTAGCAAGTACTTTAAGCCAATAAAACCGCGACGTATTGTCGGGTCTGACAACGGTGACTGAAGTCAATACTTCGTTTTCAATACAAGCTTCAGTAATTGTTATTGCTTTTGAGCGCTGATTAATTTTTGCGTTTATTCAGAGCAACAACAGAGTACAAAGACAGCATATTATTTAACGTCATCATTTTTAAGCAGGCTCTACCTAGAACTACTTATTAATATCGTGTTCGACTAGTCTAGTCCACTGACTAATTGGATATTGCATGAACTCACCAGTCTTCTGCCACCGGGCATATCTTCAGGATAGTAAACAGCCTCATTTTGCCTTATCCCATTATACGGGTGTTCCTGCGATTCTGCCGACGAGATTCGTTTCGATAGATGTCGGTTTGCGACAACCCCGGGAACTGCGCAATGAAACAATAAGAGAATTAGAAATACAAAATAGCAGTAGCAACAACAACAACAACAACACTTTAGCCGGAAGTGCCAACAAAGTTGGAGGTTATCGGTAGGGGCGGTACTGTGGTCGCTGCTGCAGATTTTATTGCGCTTTCTTGCTTTTCTCTATCTATCCAGCCACGGTAGCAAGCAAACCTATTCTTCTGATATCGTTTCTCGCAACGTTACAATGTCATGACAATATTGTCAACACGGATAGAACCCCTCATCAGGGAGGTGCATTATACAGTTCACGTTGCCATCCGCTGTGCGACTTTCCATCCAGCCACTGCTTCTTCCATTAGCTTCCAACTGCTTATGATGACTCTGTCGACAGCGTTTTCTTGCGGCCGTTACAGCCGAACGCGACCGTCATCGCCCCACAAACGCAAGACACCATCTCTGCGTGCCCGCGACCATGAATTATCATCTACCATCATACATGTGAATAGATATTATTTATTGCAGTTTATTTAGCTCTTAACAATAATCGCCTCAGTCTGCCGCTGTTAACATCACGACTTTACCCTTATGTGTTACTGGAAACAACATCAGCGACTTCGCTAGAACATCTTCCGCTACGCGTCGTTCACAGTCTGGCTGTGCAGGTCGCGAAACTGACTCGCTCGTTTACAAGCGACCCGTACAGCTATGGCAAATTGTAGATTGCCTCCAACGCCGAGCTGCTGCGCGAATGCCGCTGACGTGAGCACAGATGGAGAAAGGGGGGCGGGTTATAGGTAGCGGTCCCCATTTCTGCCTCCACAAAAACGGCCGACGATGGAGCAGGCAGTGGGCAGAGTGGGATACGCCGAATAACAACAATATTCAACGGCCAGCAGACTACAGCTGTTGCTGGTAATGGTGACTGCTGGGGCAGTAGTAGCATGAAATTAAATTCGATTCTGAAATTAACAGGATAGCGCCTGTTTTCACCCGTTCACGCGGTGTACACCGCTTGGTGTTGTTATTGTTGTTGGTAGTAATCGTGTCGTTGTTGTTGCCCAATGTTGTATAAGATATGAATAGCAAATGGTTTATCAACAATATAAGCGAGGCCATCACAGGTAGGGCTACTACCTTTCACGATCAAACGACATGCGCGGGGCATTTATGTTTGCAAATGTGAACAGTGAACAGTTCCAAATGCGACAGTTCTACCTGAAAAAATCGGGTGTAACATCTATTCCATGTGATATTGGGAGCTTACAGAAAATGCAACGAAAGAACTTAAGTATACAGGAAACTTCACGAAGTATTTTTATTGACATTTCGTGTTAGGTAATCTACGCAGTTGAGAGGAAACCGCGAGCAAAGGTGCGCCCGAAAGACAGGAAGGCGGACAGCTTCTTACTCTTTTTTTGCAACGCTTGCCTTAGGAAGCTTCGTCAGCAAAAGCTACTTGCTGTCGGGTTTCAATGTAAACATGATTTCTTTCGCGGGAATTACGAACTACACGGCTATGTATCTCTGCTAGCCCCGCACCTTTACAAGGTGATTTGCATACCACTAAAATCGGACGGATAAACAATAAACCGCAACTATTCTTGGTAATTGTATTATTTTGTACATACACTAACCAACCCTTCTCGCTAACGCGGCCCACTGCTCGGATCGCAGAAAAGTAAAAACGTCATTTCGACGTTTAAAAGTAACACTTCTTTCTTCAATGGCATGCTGTTTTAACTAAGTAACTCCACGAACAATCGACCAAAAAACGTACGCTGCTTTTCAATAAACTGTTTTCTGGTGCAAGCGTCTCTCACCTGTCTGAACGATCGAAGTTGAAATAAGGTGCGCGATAAAGATGGCGAGGCAGCCAGCGCTCAGGCTACGGGTAAGTCGGACGCTGGCGCACATCGTGAGCCCCTCCCCACGTCGGTGGGGAGTACAGCGACCCTGAGATGCAGAAGGCTTCTTTCTGTGAGCTGGTCCGCCTAAAGTAAGTCAACGTTGCCGATTTCGATAGACAGTGCGAAAATCAAAGACCAGACTGTTTCGAACTGGTGCTGAAGGCGTTAGACGGGCACAGGAACCTTTTAAGGTTTAAACGAAATCTCCGCCTTTCTTGTGTGGTAGTCTGTTACTAATGGGTCTGAAAAAGCGAAATATATTATTATTGTTATATTCGATGGCTTGAAACTTCTGTAATACATATATTTTTCAAACTCCTTACTAACAGGTTCTATCGTCCGTGCTGCGCCTCGAGTGAACGATTTCTGCGAAGATCGATGTGGTTTTGTTAGATATTCGTTATATCCGTCTCCTCGGTTACCCGTTTCGTAGCAGACACGCTGGCTGTGATGAACATATGAAAGGACCGATATGCATGGAATCGTACGTCTCATATCAAGCCTTTTACGCCCATATCGGGCCATTACCTTGGAACTATACTGGTACAGTCTTCTTGCTCCGATTAGTAAAAAAGCGCTTGGCTTGTTAAGCGTCGAAGGCATTCTTGCCGTAGGCAGTACTATAATTGCATTTACCTCCCCATCTTTCGTTAACGCAACGGGGCTCAAGGGGTAGCAGTTGACCGTACACAAACTGACTATCGCGGCCGGAACACTTCAACAACTTGCATTATGATTTCTCCAACCACTGGAAGGGCCACGTACAGCTAAGAACAACCATTTTTTTCTTGAGCAGAATCAAAACTAGAGAAAGTATTTTTTTGTTACAGCTGTAGGCAACAAAAATGTGGCGTCCTGCGTACCTTTTTGGAAAAGGAAAGGAACCGGCATTTTTCGGTGACCTTCGTTCATTATCAACTTTACCCTTTTTTTTTAATTTAACTCTAGAAGAATGTATTCGTAGGCTAAACAGGGGTTTAGCAAATTGGCCGAATTTTAGAGCGGACGTAACATATTATACGGGAACTTATCTTAGAATTGCTTTTACCCTCTACGCCTTTTCTAATGATTAGCGTGACTTGCACCACGTAGTATCTGTGCGCTCAACACTTCGTTGAGTGTGTTCTTTGTTGCTTCATCAAGGCCTCGGATAATGGGTCTCCTAACCGCTGAAAAAGGTTGCTTTTAGAGATTTAGGAGAACAGAGCACTCTGCAGTTAAGAGCGTAAGTACTCTGCAAATGAATTCCAACAGATCTAAGCTAAGAATTTATAGCTACAGAATGCTACTTGCTATCGCGTAGCTAACCGGCGAGGATACAACTGCTTTAAAACGCAACATTTGGAAACAAACGCTTGAGGAATCTCTCGCGAGAGATGACCCTAGAAGCTTCACAATTCTGCCCTAAGCCGCTTCACCCTTGGAAATGTCTATGCCATAGCAGCCCTTGCTATTTCGCAGTGTTTGCTACTTCGCTCTCTGGCGAGCCTCCTTGAACTCCTGCACTTCACGCTCAGAACCATATTCCAGCGTGCTTCATTACAGTCTATACATCGACGATGACAACTACATCAACTGGCAACATGTAAAATCACATCATACAGATAGCATGCATCGGTTTATTAGGGACTTGACTGAGTAGAGCGAGGTGTCTCCTATGCAACCGATGCCAGCCTACGGAACACAAGTGGGCGATGTGTGATTTCTGGAGGCCTCTCACCTCATGGCGCCTCCCTAGCAGAGTCCTAAGGGAGTGAAAAGTTCGCAGCTGCAAAATAATGCTCCTGATACTCTAAGGTCGGGAAAAACTTAAAATATCGTACATTAAAGGGATCTTACCAGATCGCAATAATGACTTAAAATAAATTACATTATTACTGTGTATGTGGTCCGAATTTCTTTAAACATCGATTTTTGTTAGATTCCTTTAACACCGAATGACAACTTAGAGAGCTTCACGCTTATGAAGTTTTGGTTGAAGCAATTGACTCCTTATTTAAAAGGCTGTATTTTTTTCACAGTACATTCGTTGACTCCGGTGGAATTAGCCAGTAAGGTATGCGATACGTCTTTTTTTTTTTTAGAGATGCCAGAAAGAATCATATTGCCGATCGCAAAAATTCGCGTAGCTCTTTTAGCTAGAGCCACAAAAACAGCATAGTCACTTTGTTTTTGGTAACGGAACGCCATGTGAACTCCGTATATAATTTATTTATTAAAACTTTATGTGTATATAAATATTCTAAAATATATAAAATAGAAATAAAGCATCAGCGACGTACTTTGCAGGTATTTGAAGTTTTGGGAACATATCACATTTGTATTTTTTTTGTATTTGTAATTTTGGAATAATCCTCTCAGTAACAACGAGTCGAAAGTCTTGCTTCATATATTGTGGCATCTGATTATCTTTATTGCAACCATTACATTATTGTTAATGCCGCCCTTTACCTGATACATAGTAAATAAACAGGCCCTCAATCTTAACCCTAAATAAGGACGTTTCGCCGCTCCTACGTCGCTACCAAAATTAGATTACTTTTCGTTGGTTGTCAGTCAATCATTGTTCAATATAAAATGCTATGGAACATCTGATGAATATGGTGGAAATCAAAGATTTACCTATGAAGGGGGCTAACCACCGCTCACGGATTTTGAAACAACTTCTAACAACGTGGGAAAATGTACAGTTAAGATGTGTTCTGTACAAACTTTGCAACCCAACGTATAGGAACTTTAATGATTGGTGTGGAAATCGCTCAAAAAAGGCGTATCAACGTCTATTTAGAAATAGCCAAAATGTTTAGGTTTTTCAACAATTCCAGATTATTTGAGCCAATACCCACATTAGCTTATTAGTGGTAATAGCTAAAAAATGCGTAAGGTGTGTAAGTTTGCAGCCGGACGTAAAGCACGAATCATTGTATTAAAAGTACTTGAGATCTAGGTAGAAACAGCCCTAGCGAGTGCTGTGCGTTGTCTAGGATGAACTTGAGTGAGTGTAAGTTCCATTAAACATTAAAGTTCGGCCCGCTAACACAAATCTGCACTTCTTTGTCAGTTGTTTATTCCCTCGTTAAGAATAATACGACTATGCGTCTTAATGGGGGGCTTCAATGAGGTTCGATTTTTGAATCGTTGCTCTTTTACCTCATAAATTAATCTCTACAAATGTCATCGTAATGAAAACTTTGCCTTACAAGCATAAATGCTACTAATTTTACAAAAGATGACTGTACGTAAACGATCCTGGCGTGTTGGCTACCCCGCCAATATACTCGACAATTCCCGGAGCCTTTTATCCCGAAAAAGATTAGGTCGAGTTCTGTAGATGCAAGCGAAGAGAAAAAATCTTCAATGGCATTTATTCTAATACCAGCACTGTAAGAAAATTATATCATCATATGTGTAACTTCTGGCCCGTTAATGAGATGATAGCAACAAATAATAAAAACCCAAGAATTGTTATTGAAATGCGTGTAATGATTGGCTCGTTAATGGGACATTGATTAATAGCATTTGGCCGTAGGTGATGAGTAAATACAGAGAACTTACCTGCGCGTAAAGTTATGAGTTGTTATTCCTTTTTAATTTGTAAATTTTTCTGATTGCCATCACGAAAAGCCGTATCCGTCTGGAAGTAGCTTAAGTTTGAAAGCTTTAAGTATATCTCTCAAATCTATTGCACAACGAGCCGTTACCTGAAGTGATGATTAAAGCTGAGACGAGCAGGAAATAAATACGACGGAAGTGTATATATATATATTATATCGTACGTTGTGCGTTCACGTAAAGGTAAGAGCTGTCACCGAACAACTAACTGGTTTTGTTTAGACAGCCCATTTTCTAAGTACGTACAAACTCAGCCAAAGAAAAAGGTCCAACTAAATGAGCTCGGTTCAAAAAAATGTCTTGAAAATTTGCCTTAAATATCGTAAATCTTAAATAATCTTAATAATAAATCTTAAATATTTGTCAGAAATGAAAGCCTTTGGACAAAGAAGCCATTTCCAAATTTAGCAGTAGAGTCGTACTCGCATTGATCTACCGATTAATAAACAAAGCACGCCAGTCCCCCACTTTTTTTTTTTTTTTCGATCAACACAAACAAATTGATGATGCCGATTATACCATGACTGATGTTTCGGCGAAGGCAACCTGCTTTTGAGTGCCCATGTAGATGTGTTAACTTAAACGTCTTTTATGCAGACTGTACACAACAACAACAGATAGAACTCCTGCGTGATGACTCCTCAGTTACACGGGGGAGCGATCCGCCCGAAATAATGACTTAGCCCGTCTATTTCTATTTTATTATGAACACATCGTGAACGAAGGCCGAACGCGGTAAAATTTAAACGTCCATGGTCCGGTCAACAAATTTCGTTTGATTGAAGCTCAACCTCAGAGCTAAATAAAGGAAAAACAAACGATCCTGTCTCGAGCACAAGCAAACGATCAAATAACTGGTTAACGTATAAACAGAAACGCTCCTTTGAATCTCCACGCACCCCATTATCTGGACATGTATGGCACGGAAATACGACAGAAACATTATTTCCTATATACAAATAAATGCTTGCTAATAAAATGCGCTTTAGATAGTGCGTTGGTAATTTTTATAAATTGCTTATATTACTGAAATGTTCAAAATACATCGTACATTTAGCTGTCCCTCGAAGATGGTCTTCGTCTAGTGAAGCGTGATCTTTTCATCTACATGTTGGCAAGCCTTGCTGCTGGTTAGTCATAGTCAAGAAAATATCATTTTACGCATAGACATACAAATCAGACCCCGTTAAAGTTTTGTTTACTGTTAAAACTGTCTTCAGTACAACCTTCTGTACCCCCTTAGCAAGTGTTTGAGTGACTAGCTTATCATCTGCCTATGCGAGATTTTGTCATCGCGATGACATCTATCAATAGGTTTCTACATCTTTAAAAAAAGGTCAGCAGGGGTCAGGATCACTGCAACTTGTGTATACGAAATAGCATGTATAATACTATAATAAATAGCTTTTACTTTCAATAGTTATTGAGGAGAGTAGATTGACTAAATGCATACAATGGAGGTATTAGTTTTAGGTCCTCAATTTAGAACGTCGTGAATGGTAGTTCTAACAGATTAGAAAACTGTGAACGAGAACTCCCGTTCGAATGAGGCTATAACTCGAAGGAATGTACTTTCACAACGCATGTTCTGTTTATCTAAGTAATCAAGGGCACCAAATTCGTCCGTAGTTTCCGCTAGGCGTTCAAACAAGTTACTGTATTAGATAAGCATATGAGATTTGCCATGCTGCGTTTTTTTTTTTTACGTAAATGCGGGCAGTGTTTGGTTACCCTTCAATAGAAGTTATCATTCACTATAAGCTGTACGGGGTTCATGCTTTCGAATTATAATTACCGTTTTATTTCATATCTCTCTACGTTCATGTACTGTTTAATGTAATGTGCGCTATAGTTCAGTGAACTTTTCCTAATATCCAGCGTCATTTCACACAGGTCCCCTACTGAGACAAGTTTAAATCTGAATTTAAAATTGCATTATCTTGGTATCCATCCACACAGGTTGTGTATCGTGTGGATCGATAGCGGGACCACTGCAGTTTTTTTATTATTTCAACATATTTTTTTTTACCTAAAGATAACAAAGCGTTTTTTTTTCTTTTTCGAATTAAATCACTGGATTAATACATTAAGCGTTAAACTTCTATACGTTGACTAATAGCTGGTGGTGACGATTTGAACTACTACAGCACCCGTACAAGTCGTTTTACATATTGATATTAATTAGTCTCAAAATGTTCGGCCGAGAAAAATTCCCATATCTGCAGTCGCTGTCGAAAACGATTCAGCACGACGTAATGGCTACTGCTGTGAAGTCAACGATCAACTAGCTACACGTTCACACGCATCCGTCACCTTATTTAGTTCAATTTAGACGCAGTAAAATGGCGCGTTTCGTACCACAACATCTTCTGCAAGATACCTTTCTAGGCATCACGCAATAACTCTTATTCCAACTGATACAGTAGAAAATATAGGCAAGAGGTGTTTTAGAACGTTTACGTACGTGAGAAGGTGCCGTTCCTTGACGTCGAAGTTTACGCTACGAACCTTGCTGTTAACCTGCGTGCGTTATGTGGCTATTGCCACCATTACAACACGCGGCTGCTATAAATTAGTTTCTTTTCTCACCATTTCCGGACCGATGACAGTGGTCTGATTAAATCGCATGTCATCCAACGCTTGATAAACCACTCACTTCTGGTACAGCGTTTTTGGCACTTCGAAACGCCCACTCTGTCCGGGATCGCCTATTTCGATGCACTTCGTTTTTCGGCAGCTCTTCAGAGCCGACTTCAAGTCGACATAAGCTAGTGTGAAAAGAGGCTTCTTTCAGCGACGCAAGCGTATCGCTCACCGACATCATTGAGTACACGTTTGCGGTTTAGTTAGCGATACGGCAGATACTGCTACTGTTGTTCATGCTTACGTCGATTCCGTACGTGAACGTCCTGCTTACGCTGGTGCGACGTCGTCCACGAACGATAGACGCCATACCGACCAAATCAGACAGACAGTTCAGCGGCAGAGACGACGACAACAACAACAATCATGGATCGACTAATGCCTGATTTAATGAAGAGGACTACTGGTGCAGTCCCTTACGTATATCGTCGCGAGATGACGCGTCCTGTGGGCACAATGCGGCATGTCAATGGCAAATTTGGTTTCAATAGTTAGCCCTGCTGTCACCGTCGTGACGGCCGATCCGCATATCCGTAGAGATGTCGATCGGTCGCGTCGCAAGATATTCATTGCTTCCGAATAATATAGGCACGCATACGTCGATAAATGATTACAGGATTCAAATAATGGCGGTATCAGTATACGTAGATGTCGGTGCACAACTGCAGACGATGCAAATCGAATTGGCGTGATCGATGCCAAACGCAAAAAGTGTAGGTAATATGGAAACTTGCGTATGACACTTCTCTCATTAGCAGACATAGCTTTGTTGACAGGGGGCAGAAATATTTCGAGTTTTACGTCGTTTAGCCTTACCAGTTGAACAGCGACCTCTTCCGGCAGGAAACGAACCGGGTGCCTCTGTCCGCGCTCGATTTTGAATTTAGACATTACCACATCAATAGCCCTTATATTTGGTCGACAAACACATTGTTAGTGCCCCTCCGCAGGTAAGCATAAGTTGATGGATATTGTTAATAAGATCGAAAACGGATATCCGGAAACGTTTATTTTTAGGGTATATGATGTCGAGTTTTCAGTAACCTCAAATTAGTATTGTTCAAACTCTCTGTTGTCAATCGTAGCTTGCCTGGAAAGCTAGCAATTTAAAATGTTCTCCCAATATTTTGTTATTTGAAATTTTTTTCTGCGCAACAGACGTCGCGAATTCACGATACGGTATTTTTCAGGTTTAACGAACACGTACACGGGCTGGTCCCCTCTCTACAAGCACGTCACTGTATCTACCTACTTTCACATGCACATGCACAAGACATCACCAGAACAATGCCATCCATTTAGAGACTAGAATATCTTTCCTTTACAGGAAATGATTGAACTTCATTGCATAGGAATGGGCTGTGTTAACTTTAAGCGAATCCGTTGCGTCTTCTTCTTCTTCACCGCTACCAATAGCTGCAACGGCACCAGTATAATAACAGCATCGTCTATGAATGCAGCAACAACGACCCCAAGAGATTTTGATTTGATGTGATAAGATTTTCATCGATCAATCAGTCGACCTGCTGGCAGGACCCACATTTCCAAAAGGGTGTAGACTTTCGAGACGTTTATTGATGCGTCAAACGCTTTCGATGAAATAATGATAATAGTATTAATCATAATCATTACCACCATAATATTAAAGCGAATGTTGGTGTTATTTATTTCTCACTAAAGGTGGCGTCACGCCAATGCCGGCGTTCGGTAGAAATCGTCTTTACGGTCCACGATAGCGGCGGCAGCGGCGGCGGCGGCGGCGGCAGCGGTTCTAATTGCAGATGGATAACGGCCGACGTAGTAGACATCACCGCCAATAGCAATACACTTACAGGTAAGGCCGGTTGTTGGCTTAGGCTTGCCAAGTCTCCTAGTGATACGATAGCGGCGTTGCAATGTTACACACTGGGGAAGGCGGCAGTATGAGGAGCAAGAAAGGCTCACTTTAGCACTTATGTAATAATACTTACGATTCCGTCAGCGGGCGTTCACTTGGCAGCATTCGCAAGAGCACATCTGTGTTACGCGTACAAGTTCCTGCTGACTAACCCCCCGTTATTTGCTTTTCATCCATGCCTATTTGTCCATTTGCCCTCTACATTGGCCAGCGGGGTAGGCTGGCTGATTGATGCTGATCTTACTGATGGAAATGATTTGATGATGGGCAAAGATGTTGACGCCGTTAGATGAACCGTTGGCAGCAATGGCATGAGTGACAGCAAGAACTGAGCGCAGAGCGGCGTCTAGGAGTCGTCAAATGGGATTCATGCAATTCTGATATTTGTCGCTACGACAAGCGCCAACGGCTATTGCCATATGGCGAATCAATATAAATGTATAGTGGTGATGCTTGTAGCTGCTACTGTAAATATATATCTACACGAATAGTAGCTTGTGCTTAGCGAATCCACCAGAGTTTGCAACTTAATAATTAGTTGGACTATAATAATGATTTTCATATGTGTCGAAGGTTCGTTATTTTTACACCCTTGCTGCCGCGTCCTGCCAGCCTCTTGACAATCATATGCCTACCATTTGCGTTCCAAAGTTATTTCTTTACATACGTAACCGGACTGCGTGTCTTCGATTGGTGTGCCTGCGGTCCATATGTCTCCTGAAATGTTCAAGATAACGGGCTGCACTCATTGTTTGATTCTAAGCACGTCTCTCGTCTGGCCCCTTTCGACTGACGGCAGATATTGAACGGTGCCTCGTCTGATCCAGGCAAATTGACTGTTCCTTAAAGCTCCGCAAGTTGTACGTGAAATACATTACGCTTTTTCGACTGACCTAGAGCCAATATGCGGAGCACCCTTTTTTACTCAGTTCCGCATCTTCAGTTTTTGGGTTACGATTCTGCCCCACGTTACATGCGTTAGATGCTAATTTTGATCAAGCTCTGTTTACACGGAAGACTTCCTTGATTACAACAATACGTTCTTAGCCTTCGAGACCCGATATCTGATCGCCCCCTCGCTAATCTTCACCACGCCGAAGTTTCTCCGTTCTTGAAATGTTTGCACCGTTCACGTCCTGTGTTTTCGCTCAAGGCCTTTTCGCCTAATGTCTCTATCAAAATTCGGCGAATTTTCGCACTGCTGTAAACTTCGAGAAATAAAACTTTTACCACCGAGTGTTAATTTTCGAGACTACGGAATGTTTATTCTGTTGGACGAAGAATAAACTTAACCCCACACACACATAACACAAGTTTTAAAAAGCCTGGAGTACTCATCGGGCGAATCGTGAATTTGGAACGCAAAGATTACTCAGTTTCTAGTCTAGTATATGTATGGTTTTGTACTGAACTGAATGATCTTATTCGATGATTTCACAGGGCTTTGAAAGCTTAAGTAACCGGTAGTATGCAAGAGCGGCGGAAGTCAAACCGGACGTTGAGGTTGCCCACCGATGGCTCTTAAATTTAGGTGCTTTAAGCCGTTGCGTCACGTCAGTATCAGCGATTTGCGAAGAAGTCGGTCGAAGGAAAATACTTAATGTATTTTTGTTTCTAGTCTCTGCTGATGTTCAATATCCAGTACATCCTTAGACCGTGATCAACATTACAGCTCCTCGTTATTGTAGATCATATGAGCATGGGATCGTGTAGCAGATTAAATGGAGCATTTATGAGGATTGAAGGTCTTAAATACTATCCAGCATTGCCTCTAAGGATCAGTAGCTTTTGTCTTTGATGTTAATCTCAAAGTGCCGCTTCATCATTTAACATTCCCTGTAGATTGTTCTGCTCGAACTCGGTTAACTCTTGTGCAGATCTATTTATGCGATCAATCTTTTTTACCAAATGTAAGGCAGTAATAAAAAATTGGCATAGAAAAAGGGCATGTCTGCGGTTTGTTGAAGTCTTTTTGGTCACTCGTACTTCGGGTATAGCGCTGTTAGTTCTCGATCACCACTCATCAAAACGCCAGCAATTCGGTAGCGGAATATTGCATTACCCACCAGGTGAACAATTCCAGTTTTTACGTTTTTTTTTTTTTTTTAATTTGTTTTCATGTAAATATCTACATGGCGTACGTATCTGATGGCATGGCCCTTTAAGCAAGTGCTACACAACGTACAAACAAGAGAAATACATAACTAACATTCAGTTCACTTGTTTTATGTAAACGTCACATATTGTCCGCTCCTAGAGGAGTACTCGTGGAAGTGTTATGTATACAATGTCCCATTGTGTAAATAATATACTACACTACATTTTACACTAAAGGTCGTTTACTTTTAAATAACCCGTTTATAATCAATCAAAAGCTTCAAGAATGTCACGGTTGTGGTTTTATGAAAAAAAAAAAATCGACGATAATAGTCTATGTTCGATTATTAACAGAGGAGACCATTTTCGTCATCCACGATTTTGATTCAAGGGTCGCGCACGAGGTTTTACCGAGCTACAGAAATAGTACAAAGCCAACACGGACCCAAAATCTCCTATGGCCCTGATATCTAGGATGGAAAGCTGTTCCAACGCGGTAACGTAGGCACTTCGTAGGTTGATACGTGTAGCATGGCTCATCGATTGCTGGCAAAACGATAGTATATTTTTCCAACGGATACTTCTTGATTCAGTCGTTGATTTCAGTTGATCTAGCGGGCATTTCGGCCGACGAAGGTCGCCGATCTACCGAAATAGCGGTCAAACTATGTTCAGTGGTGCAATAATTGGCTGGCCACTTTCCGGCGCAGGTGTCATTCTGTTCGTGGAGCTCTGGTCAGGTGGCGGCCAGATGTCGATGGTGACCCAAAAGAAAATACCGTATCATTACAGCTTGCGTCGTGGGAACCCAAATCTGTTAACAAAGATATTTTCCCCAGGTTTATTGAATGAGTCGCAGGACAGTAAAAGCAAAGTCGCTAAATTTATTTAATATATAGACATATATAATCCGTCAAATTGGAGACTCTAGCCCGAAGTGCGGAATCGCTCTACCCATATGCATGAGTTCCTTCGCACCAAAAGCGGTCTTGGACTTGAGTGCTGCTGCACTTCAGAGCTTTTCGAACTTTTTGTATACTCATCATGTGAAACATGTTAGAAGAAATAGCGGATTCTTTCATTACGAAAAAGTCATGATGAAATTTCGTTATAAAGCCCAGGTTCACTGAGAGACGCAAGCGCACGAGGCCAGTTGAAAAACCCAGATATAGCCGGCCATATCTACATAGATCGTCGCACAAACGTGTCTAACGAAGGATCGCTTTGATGCACTCATAACAGCCCTCTGTCTGAGAAAAAAATCTCTTATAGATAACATACAGAAGTCGTACGGTGGGTCGATTTCATCAAGATCGGGCTCGGATCAATGGACAGCATGCTTGATTAAGCAGACTTTTGCACTCTATACTCTATTGGAGTAGGGAAGTCAAGTACATTTCCTGAGTGCAGTTCGAAGTCTTATAATAAATCTCTTAAATAATAAAAAAAATCCACATTTAAGAAAAAAATTATTGTCACAGGCCGCCTCGTTTTATTAGTCGTTTCGTCTTAGATGGCTTCTTTAGCCGTAACGGAAAAACGAAGGTCATTGTGGAGTCATGGGCCTGGCCATTTTTAGCAAAAGCCTTTATTTATAATATAATAATTATGGCAATAAATAGAATGTAGCATTATTCGATATTCTCCCTTGATCAACTATTTGAACTTACAATCACCATTTACATAGCATGTGCTAGACAAACTTTCGAGCTTGTCAAGCGTCATCAGACGAAAGACAGCGCATATCTTAGAAATAGACTAGTAACAACAATGCAACCTAATGTACTACAATATCAGTTGTGCTCGCCCCAGTCTATTAATTGGGCTCGGAATAAGCAGCTTTAGCTACCTACCTTAACAGGGACTTTGTAGGTACATCGGATATGGACATCGTCCATGTTATGCCTCGGGCACCGTTGAGCAAATGATTCCATACGCGCGTTCTCGATGTTCTTTGAGCATGGACTGTGCTAATTTCATATAACTCGATACTCGAACCGTTCGAAAAGGCCAATTATTTACAAAAATTGTGGAATTTTCGGAAAATTCTGTTATATTTACTTTATTTAGGATATTTTTCTTTTAACTACCGTATGCATAATGCAACGTTTCAGCAGAGATTGTAAAATTATTATTGTTTTTATTTTTTATATAGACATTGCATATGTGTCAAATGGAGATTTAAAACCTTTAGAAAAAAAAACGATTTTCCAAATCGATGTAGCTATTTCATAGCAGACATGATTATTTGGAGGGTTTCCAATTGATTCACTCAGGTAGCACTTAATCAATATTACATATGGATTATGGAATATATGAAGTCACCGTTTATATAGAAGATAATGGCACAGGTCCAATTGGCATAATCCGCTGTTTCGACGGACTTCCAGTACGTGTTGATAAAACTACGTTAGGATACCTTTGTACACACGCGATTTAGAAGCGCGTTTTGCCGACGATTACCTGTAGATTTCTCTTATGAAGTAGATCACTGATTATTTTTTTCGTGTTCTATATTAAAAAGTAGTTCCAGACCTTCTTCAGTTAGACAGTTAACAAAACTGAAGGGATGTACATGAACAAAAATTAGTTAACAAATAATAAAAGGCACTTAGTTAAAGATTTTATGTAACAACAGAAATACAGAAGGAACAATGGATCTGATTGACACTGAAAAAATAATAAACTATTATTACCAAAGAAAAAATATGGTATGACTGACTCTTGGTTGCTTTCCAGGAAAAGTAATAAGTAAATCCATCAATAAAATAATTCAGAGCGGCGTTTTAACTTATGCCGCATTAAAAAAAAACCTGTCGAGTAGCCTTTGAGCCAACGCAGTGTACTCTTAGTGCATCAGCGGTCGTTAGCAGTGATAGTTTTAGTTTAACTTGACACTTGAAACAGAGTTACGATATTCCGACGAAAAGGTCACCCCTTTAAATGATCACACACAGACAGGCTGACTGATCCCTTAGTTCGCGTTCGTCGGTCCCGGTGTTATCTTGAGAAAAATTGCCAAGCTCGATAGCGTTGTTTATTGGCTGTTACATAGTTCAGAAAATATTAGGCTATAACAGGCGAATCCGGTGAACTTCGACAAATTTAATAACTTTACCGCTACGCCGCTAGCAGACGACATTTGGCTGGTAAATATTCTAGTATTCTTAAACTTGCGAGTAAAAACCAGTTGAATTTATTCCAAGAGAAATGAAAGCAGAATGAAAAACATCTTTTTTCAAACAAAAAATTTAACGTTCATTAGTCCTATTTTTATTTCTCGAAGACCACAGAGTTGCGGAAATTAATCGAAGGCTGGTAAAGACATCAGGAAAAAAAGACCTAAAGTCCAATGAATGCGGCCCGCTATATCGAGCTTCTTAAGAGACTCGTAAACCGTTAGCACGAGAGTCGGAATTACGTAGTCTGGGTACTTGGTGTCAACACCAGACCTCATCGTCGTGTTTTCATTATTTCCTGGATTGGGCAAGGGAATATCCAATTTTGGCTTCTACCCGCTTATTCTCCCGATCTAAGTCCGTGCAATTTTGAGATTTTGGATGTCCTGAAAAGACAGTCGGTACCCATACATATCCCATTATCTATTCATTTTGAACAGTCGCATATAAAAGAATTACATAGGCGAACGCAAATGGTGAATATATGGCCCTCCAGAAACGATCAGAGCGTTGAAATGCAAGTGTGCAAAAGGGACTAAGCCTCAATGGCAATTCAATTTTAGTGTCAGCCGGATTCGGCCTACAACTGCCTAGTGCCTAATTTCATTGAATAGGTGTCGTCATGATTATTTCTGCATTTCGCGAGCATGCGCTCACGCATTAGATTGTTACAAGTCGATAACATTGTAGAGTAGATAGAGTTACTGAATAGATGCATGGAGCGTCTTCGCTTCGCGTGTTTATATCTTCGTAAAACAAGCGTTACGAACAGGCCAATCAACAAGCATTTTTCGAAAATAACCTGTCCTATTTATACTAAATTGTTTTTATGGCATGGGGCAGCTACCCATCACAAAAGACGCTAGGGATAGTCCATATGAAATCATATACCTTCGTAGATGTGAACAGCTAGATAAGATATGTGTATATACACCATTAAATATATTTTGTCCGCACAAAAAACGAAACACCCGAATAAAAAGTTAGTAGAAAAGTAACCAAAATATCTTTTAAAAAAATGACTAATATCCATATGGCGAATTAAGCGTGTCCACTATCGGGTCAACTAAATGAGCTATGGGAAATGCCAAGTGATTTAGGCCTAATCGACCGAATTAGATATTGAATGGTTGTGATAAGATCAGGTATAACAGACAAGTACAATTCAGTCTGTACAGCCGTTCTTACTAAGGCAACGCTGTGTTATACGTTAACTTTTCGAAAAAGCAATTCACTGCGACCAACGTTCAAGACCCCAAAATGTCTGACCGCCATAAAGTGTTTATTGTTTTAAAAAAAATAGCTAATATGCATCATATTAGCGATTTTTTTGCCCGTTGCATATTAACACGATTGTATAGATTTCGTGAAGTAGCTATTATACACTGTCCGTGACAACAACAATGTCAGCAAATAGCACCGATATCGACATGTGTGGTCTTTTACACCGTCTACTTTCTACGGTAATTTTTTTCTCATCGCTTATTTATATTTGGGAAAATAGGAATATTTAAGGTAACCTTCGTCTAGTTCAAGCTGTAGCACGATAAATATACAGATATCGTTCGGTGTGACGGCAGAGGATCGTGCGAGACAGGTCTTTTATTTCGTATTTAGAATGCAATGCAACGTTCGAACGGTTCTTAGTTTTGGGCAGTTCGCGGTCCCACTAGATCCTACAGGGACATCGTAATAACAATAACAACGTGATGAACAATAATAACATATCACAGATAGAGTAGAATTCGGACCACGTTTTATTTCGCTTTCAGTAGCTGCTCGTCTTGAAACAGTCAGTAGCAGTAAGCTTTATACCTTCCGCCAAAGCCTTCATACCATGCTGGTTACATTACCCAAGACGTTCGACGTCAAAAAGCAGATCTCCGCGTAGACAATCCATTGTAACTGTTCGGCAAAAAGAACCCACTTGTGAATGATTTGATACATTGGGGGCAAAGCCGGACGGCTCAGATCCATCCTGGGTGAAGGGATGCTTCAAAATAGATACGTCGAAGAAATCTACTGTCAATAAAACTATTAACAATGAATGACCGAAGAAGATAAGCTAGACGCTCATCAACGTGGCAGATCCGTGACAAAGTCAGGGGCGGGACAAGGTAGAGGTCTGCTGGGTGCTTTTGGTAGAAATCGGCGCACGAAAGGCGTTATAGTGAAGTGAACCGTTGAGCATGACGCCAGAGGAGACTTCAGTTTAAGACGATGCTCAGTGTAACGTAATCAGGGAAATAACCGACATATTGTTCCGGCGAACTAAGAAAAAATGGGCAATAAGAGCCGGACTCACGTCGTTAGAAGTTAATTTTAGGCCGTCGATGATTGTTATCATTATTAAAAGTAAAATGGGATGATAAGTAAATTTTATGAAGGATCTTGGAAACGAGGAAGCAGCGTAAAGGGGGAACCGTGCTTCTAAAGAAAAAACCGCATCATTGATCAAAGAATTACGTATGATATATATTCATCTGAATAGTAGACTTTGAGCATAATGGAAGTTCCATTTCGATTATGCAAGACAACGCGGACTCGATCATTAGAAGATGGCATTTGTCAAACGTACTTCTAAGGAGAACAGAAGCAGGTATGCTCGTGACATTGTTATTTCGTATTCGTACGTTCTTTTACGGAACTTTTCATTATCCAACTTTGATTCGTGTGAATTTTAACTTGAACTAGGTTTCAGAGTGTAATGTATAAACGGACAACTCATACCTGTAAACAAACTCGGACTAGGTAAATAAGCCTATCTACTACTATTAATTAAGCATCTAATTAAACCGTGAACGCATTTTTTAGCAACTAAATTTCCTATTCTGTCATTTTTCCAAAATTATTAGTTATCGTTTATTTAGACCCAATAGGTGAGTAGATGGAACATGCGAAATTAGCAATTGGAAGACGGCCAGCATTTTACCACGCATAGTAAATTAGTAGATAGTAAATTATAATTATAGCTGGACTTACTCAAAATCAAGCATTAAACGGAGCAGTGAAACGGCAGTCGGCATTCTATTGCATAACACAATAATAATAAAAAAAATGAGCGATTGATGTAAAGGAGAGGCCTGCAATAAAAGTAACTGACAAATTGGTTCTAAATTCAAAAAAAAAAATTGCTAGTTTTTAACCATCTAAATATTTTTAGCCCAGCTAGACAAAATATTAAACGTACGTATTTTTCGTCTGTGTTTCTAATAAAAGTTCCCGTAGAAACCGTTCCGTGCGCTTCCTTCCCATAAATACCACCCGCAGGCGACCCGCAGTTTACTGCTTTTATTATAATAATTCGTTACTTAGCAAAATTATGCCTTCAGTTGGGGCAACAGTTTGCCCTTATTTGCCCAGTAACATCTAGCAGGAAATATTCGAGGCATTTCCGATATTTCTTTTTATATTACCGTTGTTTCTATACAACAATGAGGCAAACTTCACTCCATCAGCCAGCACTTCGGTA